CATCTTTATGCAAATGTAATTATACAAACAAACAAGAAAGAGTAAACAAAAAATGGTAATACATATTCACAAAAAATACTACTATGTTACGATGCAATACTTACGTCTCGACAGCAAATGTTATTTGTAGGTATTAATACCGTACAGGTATTAGAAATATGAAATTATTTTAACTCGACCGATCAATCGGAAACGTGGTTAAAATAAGGTTAAATTGAATTCATAGGTTAATTTCATTTAGCAAAGTCAACTTAGCAATTCAAGAATAATATCCAGCCGCGTTGTTCTGCAAGTTGAAAAAGGACAGAACTGATTTAACCGACCCTTATTTTATTTTCACTTTTTAATTCAAATTTTAGTGCCGTCAGTCGCCGGTCAGCCAGTTGCAGCGCTACCTGCGTAACGCGGTAACAAGGACGCCCATATGATTGCCACCTCTCTTATTTTACTTACTCTATGCCACAGAACATACCCCCATACACACATAGGGGGGATATTTTGTGCTCTATGCTACTCACTATGACGTAGAGATCCACCTAACCTCTTGTGTAAATATTTGTTTTATTAGATTTAAATTTATCAAGTAGTTTTAACAATGGAAAACGATTTTGTTTTTGTCGAGTACTTAAGCAACATAAATACGGCCGTCAAGCACACCTTCCAGTCGATGCAAAGAGTCAAAGTAAGTTCAACTTTTCAATTACATTCACCAACTCGGTTAGTTTTCGTCAAATCAGCCCCATTTACGGTGTAAACCCCGGCATTGTTGCACCACTCTATATAATCAAATTCAGCTCCAACTCCGAAGCTGATTATCATGCCACAAAGCGCCTCCGTTTCTTGTCTTTGAGCTCATTTTCCAAACTTTCAATGACTACTTATATTTCAGCTAAGATGTTTCGACGTATCGTCAACCTACTTGGTTTTCGGCGCTTCAAGTGGCGGCATTTATATTTTCAAACGGAATCCCTACGAGTTTATAAAACTTATTCCAAGCAGGGTGAGTTAATGCTATCAACATTGGCCGACTTAACACTTTTTTTCGTTCGCCAGGATGGCCCGACAAAGTTGATTGCGATTTCGCCAGATGAACATCACATTAGCGTGGTGTGCGCTACAGGACTGATATTGATCCTGCAGAACTTCATTGAGGATGCAAACACACAAACTCAAGTGTTCAACGAACATGAAGGCAAGCAAGTAACTTACATCAAGTGGCATAGGAACGAGCTGTATGTAGGGGATGAGACTGGAAAAGTATCAGTGGTTTCAGTAGTAGCTGCTTTGGTAAGTCACTACTGATAAAAATGTATATGCACGTTGCTGACTATTTACTGAATTGCAGTTCCAAATCCCGTCTGCCGCTCTAATGACTATAGTTTCACCCATTGTGCAAATAGATGCATATGAATCTCTTCTGCTAGTCTCTACCCAAGAAAAGACGTACTTATGTAATACCGACAAAGAGACTTATGTACAGATAGGCAAAAAGCTTCGGAGCGGATGTTTTGGCGCGTGTTTCTCTGCATCTTCTAATGAATCAGGTGAGAACTGCGACCAAAAGCACCTTAAATAATTTCACGCGTATTTTGCTTGCAGCTGAAATGAATTCAGTGCACAACACCAGAAAAGCGTTCCAATCAGTTAAGGAAAACGAGTTGCTGCTTACTGGTGACCATCACTTGAACACGAAGATATTCTGTGCGCGCCCTGGGGCTCGGCTGTGGGAGGTGGGATTGGATGCCAAAGTTAGGGTTACGCACCAATTTAGAGAAGCTTTAAGTGAGGAATCGTCTAGTGTTCTTATTATAGGCTGTGAAGAGGAGTCAGTTCTCCAAAAGACACAACGTGACACTAAGCAGACGGTAATAATCGCAACAATACTTGAAGAAGTCGTTTAAAGTGGACACTTTCAGGTACCACATTCTTTTAACTTTTGCCGCATATATCCAGTTTGCGATACATTTGTGCTCACATACGACTCAAAGAGGTTGTATATTTTCGATCCTGGGACAAGTAAACTGGTGTATTGGACGACTTTTTCCTCCGGCATTAAGCAAGTGGCAATTGTTAACAATGAGTTTTACATTTTGAAGAATAATTTGAACATTATTGTTTTGTCAGGTAATTATAATTTGAGCGAGAAACAAACCAGCTGCACCAGAACCTTAATTTGGGACCATTTTGAATTGTGGCAATAGTTGAGAACTGCTCGGCGCAATTTTTCCGAGCTTAAGACTTTTCTGTTCTTCTAGTAATTCACCTAGAACGTCTGATATTGACAACGTTGTACAAAAAACAATTCTATCTGTGCATGGGCCTCTGCATAGAGTTCAAAGAGAAGATTTTGCAAATGCTAGAAAGCTCCAAAAAGCTCTTTCTTCTATCGCTGCTTAAGAGCAAATTAAATAGTGGCGAATTGGAATACAAAACTATGCAATGTATTTTCGAGAAAATTCAAGCAACCAATGAGAAAAGATGCTCACGACCGCAAACGGGCCATATTGTCCCAGTGGAAAACCTGCACACCAATGAGGCAGATTGCTTAGCAGTTAACAAAGTCCACGTGGAGGACGAATTGGGCCACTTTAATCTGCTTATGAAGCAATTCAAGCTGAACAAAACACATCAGTGAGTTCATTATTGATACCTTTGACTATTATCCAAATTTAGTAGCTGTTAATTTTGTAGGACCATCGAAATTCCAGAAGTGCGCAAATATCTTCAAGCTGTTAACGCCGACGAGTTGTTCGAATTGTTGAAACAGTTCAGCGACCATGTAAACAAGAAGTTCGGGGAGAACGCAACCGAGTGGTGCCAGCATCAATATTTGAAGCTCATTGCCAGTCGGTGCATGTTCGTTGAGGACTTGCCAAATGAGAACTGTGAATTTTTGACTGAGGCACTGATCAAGGCAAATGAGGCAATTAATTTTTCATGTTCCTGTGGGTATCCTTTGCCTAAATGCCACAAACATCCTCCGAACTTTTATAAGACTGCCCTGGAAATACTGCAGGGACAAAGAAATAAAGATAGCGTAAGTTCAATCCCAAGAAGCACCGAGAAGTGCGTGATTTATATATGTTTTTTTTTTAGATTTTACAAAAAATTCCGTATTTATGGAGATACCGGTTGAAGACTGAGCTTTATGGTTTAAACATGACTGCCCTGTTACAATACAGCAACCTGGAACTGTTTATTGAGCACACAAAACAACTTACATATGATGGCTGGCACGACATTTTAGGTGAACATTAGCTGCGTTAAAATGCGCGAAGGTTTTCTAGCTGTCGATTTTTAGGGTATTTTGTAAAGCTTAACAGAGGTGCGTGTTTGAATTGCGATAAGTCAATAGATACCGAATTGATGTTCACTTGGACTCAGGTGGGCAAAGTATGCATACAGTCGTTGGGAGCCAAGAACACCCTGAGAATTATGGAAAAATACGACCAAATGATACCCAATGGGGCTCTGGACGTGTCATTTTACCAAACTTGCGTGTTTTCCCACATTTCGGTTAATGCTAATAGTACTAGTAAAATCAAAGCTGAAGCACCGTCCAGATTTCTCGAGGATTTGGACGAAATGTCTAAATTGCAGGTAGAATTTACTACGACACTTTTGCCGGGGAAATGAAGCCCGTTTTTGTAGTTCCAGGAAGGATTGGCCAAGTACTTCCAACGAAAATATTCAGCTGAGAAAAATTCGTGTTTTGACTTTGGCTTAGATAATTCAGGGGTGTGCCTTCTGTGCAAGTTGCCATTGAAGAACGCCATTTTATTTGAAACAGATGTGGCGAAAGGTTGCGACCACCAGTTCCATAAGTTCTGTTTAGAGAGGAATGGTAAAGTTTGCAATATTTGTAATTAGTATTATTAACTGTGATTCATAGCGGAATACTTTCCATATAACTTTGATAGAATTTGTACAACACTCGCTCAACTAATAAGTCTGCTAGTTCCTTCAGTACTACTTCCATGTGCTTTTATAGGATGTAGGTATAAGAAGATTAATGTAATAAATTACTTTTTATTCTACTAACGAAACTTTGGTCAAATCTACATTAACAAAATATGCAACTTAAATTAACTGAGGAACCTTATTGAACCAGTGCGGATGTTGCAGATTCCTCAAAAAACTTTTGTAAGCTCTGAGAAACTACTTCATGTTCTGTACATTTTGGAAAGGAATATTTACAACGAAAATTTTGGATTCTGGCTCTGCATGGAACGAAAATATACATTCTAATAGCTTGGTAACTCGGGATTAAATTTACTTTCGTCTATATTTTTGCTATCTAAACTGAACTTAAGTCAAGGTAACTGTAATCTTACCTATAAGTTATTGTATATACTTTCCTGACTGTGTTTCAATTCCAAATCAAATTCATTTCTGGGTTTCAGTCATTTATTGTCTATATTTATCAATCAAAATACGTTTCGGTGTATTTTTCCACCATCATCACTTTTTATGTGTAGCGTTGTTGCTGCTTTAAGCCTTGGCATGCATTTTCTTGCCAGAAAGCAACAACGCTACACATAAAAACTGATGATGGTGAAAAAATACACCGAAACGTATTTTGATTGATAAATAGAGACAATAAATGACTGAAACCTATAAGTTATCCAAATGACCGGGAAATGCTTTAATTATTGTATTCCAAAAATATTTTATAGGTCAGCACAAGAGCCGTTTAAATCTAACTTTTGAGGATACCCCTGAGGCTTGAACCAATGACAACCACCACATACCCATAACGTAAATAAAACTATATAATTTACCTGGAATCAGTCTTATTCAAGGCCTAAAACATAGTTAATTCCTTGTACTATGAACAAGACTACAGGCTGCCAAGCCACTAAATATCTAATCCAATCCAAAAGCTGCCCGAATAGTATATGCGGTTTTTCCCAGGGATTTGAGAACATTCGTTTGAGATCTACTTTTTCTTTGCAATACGGACAAGTTTGCTTTTTACCAACTATACACCAACCTCGTATACAAAATTCGTGAAATCTGCAAAAAAACAGAAATTAAAGTTTTTTTTGGGTCAACAGAGATTGCTGGATTGGATCAAGTGCATAACTATTTTTGGCTCTAATTCTACATTATACCGCGTGATTCATCAACCAGATACTCCATGGAACTTTTGATTTTTAAATGGAAAACGTGTATGTACTTTAAAATCCTATTTTATCATTTTTCGAAAATGTTTTTGATTTAAAAATAAACAGTTAGACTGGTTTCTTTTCTATAAACATATAAATAATGCGGTTTTAGGAGACACGCGCTCTCCGTGTTTGAATGTATTCTCCTAAATCTGCCAAGAGTTGCGACTACTTACACATGCTCACAGCTCAATTGGTACGTGTTTTCAATGATGCCTTCTTCATCTGCCCCAACTAGTAGCCGATTTCCGCAAATTGCACATACGTTCGGGTCCAAATGTTTAGTTGGAATTCCTTCTGGTGAGTAGTACTAAAACACGCAAATAACACACGCCTGAACGACTGTAAGGCGCCCGAACTTACGCCTATGTGTGAAGCCATTTTATCTGTACATATTTCGGAAATATCTCTCGCTAACACACCGTAATAAAGCCCATAAAAAATTATGACCATTGCTGCGTCTAGATAAGCGTCCGGCTTGGCGTTGAAGAGCAAATTGATTCCGAAAAAGGTGGCCATCATCAGCATATATCCAATAATGCCTAAACCGTAACTTAATTTATACAGGAAAAGGAACCATTTGTACACTAGCCTGAAAGATGTGAATTACTATTGAGAGTGTATGGAAGAGTGAGAGGTTGCTGAGGGTACCTTGGGGTGGTTCGATCTAAAGGCTTTTGGATGGCCTTTCTGAAAATTAGGCCGGTAATGCAAGAGAAAACTAACCAGGCGAATATGAACCTGTACCAGTGGTGTTTTATACTGATACCAATTGGAATCAACCACATCGCAAGTAAAGTGAATATCTGAAAAAGAAATGTCTCACTGAAGGCTTAGATAATTGTTGATTCACACTTACAAGGTAGCTCCTAAAGTACCTTTTCTTCCATTCAATTAGAAGAACTTGCGTTACAATTAGGACGACGATTAGGACTAGGATCATTTCCAGGTGCATTTTCTCATGCCCTTTATGCATTTCATGAAGTTTTTGGTGATCATATCTAGAAAAGACATCATGCGATTAGGTTGGATGCTTCAATGTAATGTAAATCGTAAACTGGGCAATGAATCGTCGTTTGGACTCACCTGGCGCGTTCCTCTGAGCTCAGTTCACTCAAGTTCTAAAACACCAAGATGAAAAGCAGTTTAGTTTACGGAAAATGGAAATGTAGAGACAATCTGGTCATACCCTGTTTCCCAGTATCACCGGTTGGTGTAGGTTTGGTTCCATTTTAGTGTTGGTGTATGACCAAGCTTGCGTTACTGAACAATTAACATGAACAAGTTAATTAAATCAAGGCGAAAAAATACATCTTTTAAGTATTTCTTGTTATTTAAATTTTAAAGCTTAAACACTATGTAAAAACACGTCACGTCAACCGCGCGGTTCTTTAAGCCCACTGACAGTCGAATCCACTGGCTGCCGGATATATAATGTTTACTTTCTGCTAGATGCTATTGATTTTCTCCAAATTTGTTCCTTTTTAAATGTATTTCGAGCGGGCACATTTTTTTATAATTTCTCATAATTGAGAACATTTATTATTCTGCTAAAATGCCTTTGCTGGATGAGCAGGAAATTCCAGAAAATTTAATTTTAAATAATCGACATACCGCGCCCTAATGGCAGAACTGAAAAACCCGAACGACACTTCGGCAGTCAGCGCCTTTAAATCCAAGGCTGCCGTAGGTACTTTCCTTGCCATTGTCATATAAACAAACAATTAGTGCCAAAAATATAAGCAATTTATTTCTTTTAAAATACAAAGTGTTTGATAGTGTCCCTTAAGGTACGTGCAAGACAATAAAAATATCGTTTGGTTCCAGTCGCTTGTAGTCAAGTTTAATTGTTTGAATACAGTGCGAATGTGTGGGTGGAAAATCAATTTTTCAACCACAAAATACTATTCCTCATTTTATTAATTTATTCTGTTATTTGAACGTAAGCATTTTTTAAACAAATTATCGCTTGCACTAAGGATTGTTTACACAAAATACATTCAACTAAATTGAAGTCCTATTGGACAGTACCTAAAGAAAACGCTCCTTTGTACTTGTCTTATTTTTATTATGCAGCTATTGTGAGAGTCTTACTCAGTAGCAAAGCCCTTCTACTACAGCGTTCTGCACCCTGCAAGCACCATTTTTTTCGATATATCCTATGTAGTCTACAATGGCCCTTAAGAGTTTCTTTTAAAGTCAGGACGCTTCAATCATAGCTTTTGATTGCCGCTTTTGAATACTTGCTTAACAATCGAAAATGACTTTGTTGTTGAAAAATTTGTAGAAGCCTGATCCGCGGCCAAATCCTTGAATATTTTGTCGAGACACTGAGACGATCTGTTTTCTGTTGAAAACTTTGTTTGACGACATTTGCCACGGCAAAATAAATTTGCTGTGGATCAGCTTGGATCAGGATCTTAGACATTAGATCTCCACGTCTTAAGTTGTACGAACCTTTTTGAACAATTGGCAATCGCTAGCAGTTAGAAGAGAAAATGTACGTATTTTCCTGAAGCATTCACCATTGTCAAGAAAATAATTTCAGCCTGATGGTTCAGCCAGACTGGCCTGCATTTTAAAAAATGTTTCGGTAGAACCAACACTGTGGGTTTTATTCCAGACTCACTATGAAGTTATAAATTAAAATTGCATGTTGCGCCCATTGGCATTCCGTATAGTCGACCATTCGAAACATTCATACCGCACTCTGAAAGATTCTTAAACATGAGCGGTATTGCCCCGACCCTGGGCGACTCAATAACAACTTTATCGGAAGCGCTCACTTTGGAAATCGGCCCCTTCGAAGCTGTTCATCGATGGATTTCGTTGCCCGAGTGTGATGAGTTTGTAGGGGCCAGGTGAGTGATGTTGATTTTTATTTCTTTAGAGGCAACATGCAGTGCAAACTATGTTTTTCAGACGCAGCAAGCACACCATGGTAGCGTATAATGACTCGATATATGTATTTGGAGGCGACAATGGAAAAAGCATGCTCAACGACCTGATCCGGTCCGATGTTAAGGAGAAGAGTTGGGGTCGGGCTTTTGCCACTGGTACTCCTCCAGCTCCCAGGTGAGTTTCACTCCACAACACCAATACTGGACACTTAATTATCCCCGCTTGTTATTCCAGATATCACCATTCAGCAGTGGTTTACAACGACTCGATGTTCCTATTTGGCGGCTATACCGGGGACATTCACTCAAATTCGAATCTCACCAACAAAAACGATCTTTTTGAGTACAAATTTAAAACTGGCCAGTGGTCCGAATGGAAGTTTGTGGGGAAAATGCCAGTGCCACGATCCGCTCATGGAGCAGCCGTGTACAATGATAAGTTGTGGATTTTCGCTGGCTACGATGGAAACGCCCGGCTCAACGACATGTGGACAATCAACTTGGGGTTTGTAAGTTGCGCCGCATTAGGGCCCCATTTAGCCGCTTCCCCTAAATTCGTCTGTAATTAGGGCGAAAAAGTCTGGGATGAAGTTCAGCAGAAGGGCGAGTGTCCGCCCACTTGTTGCAACTTTCCCGTAGCTGTTGCCCGGGAGTCCATGTTCGTCTTCAGTGGACAAAGTGGGGCAAAAATGACGAACTCTCTGTTTCAGTTCAGTTTCAGGGACAAAACGTAAGCAGCAGCATTTGCCACATGAAACTTCCTTTTGTATTGTTTGCGGTTTTAGTTGGACGAGAATTTCAACTGAAAACATTTTGCGAGGCGCGCCGCCGCCTCCAGCAAGAAGATATGGGCATACCATGGTAGCTTATGATCGGCACTTGTATGTTTTTGGCGGTGCCGCCGATGCCACTTTGTCCAACGATTTGCACTGTTTCGACTTGGATACGCAGTCTTGGAGCGTAAGACGGAAAAGGACAAATGTTTTCACATTAAACGCCGCTATTTGCAGGTGGTTCAACCAGATCCGGAGTCAGATGCACCCTCAGGGAGATTGTTCCATGCAGCTGCAGTGGTCAATGATGCCATGTTCATATTTGGAGGAACTGTCGATAATAATGTTCGCAGTCGGGATATGTTTCGGTATGTACCAATTCGCTTCTTTTGTTTAAGGTTTTATTTATTTACTAGGTCCTAATTGCACATTCCTGAGAATAAGATTATTAACGAAAATCCTGCATATTGGACATGTTGGTGAATGCGCAAAGTATGTCGCGTTTACGGTAGTATCGCTCTGAAATGGATTTTCTCGCTCGGTTTATTGTCTGTTCATTTCTGAAAAAAACCTCCTAAACACATACAGCAAAACATTAAGCTTGGGAAAAGTTTGATTGAAGAAATATTCCAAATCAAATCTATTCCTGGGTTTCAGTCATTTATTGTCTCTATTTATTAATCAAAATACGTTTCGGTGTATTTTTCCACCATCATCGTGGAAAAATACACCGAAACCCAGGAATAGATTTGATTTGGAATTGAAACACAGTCAGGAAAGTATATACAATAAATAAATATTAGAAACACATTGTGCCACGCGTTATCAACAAGTTATTTTCTGTTCATGCTGTTTTACCTTAAAGCTTTCAGTTTACAAGTTATCCTAAATGTACACTCCACGAGGATTACGGAAGTTTGCTGACCAAAGAAGAGTGCCAGCGTTACTGCGACATTCGTTTCCTTGTGGGTGAAGACGAGGAGAAAATATTGGCGCACGTCCCCATAGTGGCGGCCAGATCTTCGTATTTGCGAGAGAAAATCCGACTGGCAAAAATCGCAATGGAGAAGCATGTGGAGAAGCTCTTTACGGACAACAATAAAGGTATATATTTCGCAAATTTGTGTCCATCTAGTTCAGAAGTATTTTTGTAGTCAACGATATACACGCGACTGATTTTTTGGAAGTGAAGCTGCCTGGTGCGAACTGCGACGCCTTCAGGATGGTGCTGGATTACATTTACACCGACAGCATCGATCCATCCAAATATGTAAATAAAGCTGAACCGGACCAGGAAAAAAATACCCTTCTTAGGTAACTTTGGCATTCGGGCATTGACTGAAAAGTGAACATTTCATCGGCTAATTTTGTTAACAGGATTATGGACGTTTATCAGCTGGCGGAGGAATTTCAAATGTCCCGACTGGAGCATCTTTGCGTTCAGTTTATAAACACAACGATCTGTTTGAACAACATCGTCGAAGCTTTAAAGAACGCCGACAAGCTGAAGCTGGATTTTATTAAGGAGCAATGTTTGAGATTTATAGTGAAAGATACGAACTTCAATCACATAATCAGAAGCGCGGAGTTTGAAACTTTGGAAAGCCGATTGATTGTACAGATTCTTTTTCGAAAGCAAATGCCGCCATCAAAGGTACCACACATGCAAGACTTATGCTTGCCATACTACAATACATTGATAAACTAAAACTGGTGAGTTTTTCGGGCTTTCGGGGTTAAAAGGTTATTTTTCACGACGGCACAAAAACAACAAAAAAACTTACCAGTTTCAAGTAATAGACGCCGTAAAGCCGTACTGTTACTTTATAAAGCGTGTTTATGTTGCAGACTGCAAATGAAACCATGTTCGACTTATCAAAGAATTCACTGGAATACGACATGCAGAATTTTCTGCATAACACTGGAAAACAATTCTGCGACGTTGATCTCATATTGGAAGATCATGTCATCCCATCCCATAAGGCCATTCTGGTCGCTAGATCTGGATATTTTGAGGCCCGGTTTCGATCCTGTATGCCCAATGAAACAGATAAAAGGGTCAACGTAAGCCAAGCAAACCTACAAGTTTGTAAGCCTCTACATGTAATTAGTTATTACTAATTTCAGATAAAAATTGGAGAAATTACGCCGTCTAAGAAGTCCTTTGACACGCTTTTGCGATACATCTACTACGGGGACACGAAAATGCCCCCCGAGGATTCATTGTACCTTTTCGCATCTGCTTCATTTTTCAATTTTTCGAATATTCGCTTGCAAGCGATCTGCAAACAGAATCTAGAGCGGAACGTCACGCATGAAACAGTTATTGATGTGCTCGAGGCGGCGGATCGAATCCAAGCAATTGATATGAAGAAATACGCTTTAGAGTTGATTGTCTTGAACTTTAAAAAGGTATGAGTTTGCAAATCTTCCAGCATCGTCGCATTAAGTGGGATGTTACTTGCTAGGTCGTGAAGCAGCCCAGATTGAAAATGCTGGACAAGGCGCTGATATTGGACATCTTGGACACGTTGGGTGATTTCATGAGTAAAAAGGAGCTATCTGACCCATGACAAACCAGGAATAGCTTCAGCGGTGATATGTGGCGGCGGAATGACAAGAAAAGATTGGCTAATGAAGCCATGTGGGTCTTTAGCCGGAGATTTATCTACATCAAGGGCATTAGGATTAAACCGGAGTACTTGCCGAGCATGCCGTACGTGCAGAACACCAAAGGTAATTTATTATGCTTCTTTAAAACATAATTGCATTTCGAGCAGTTTACTTAAACGGGCTGCTTGTGGAGTCGATAAAACGGCAACTCGATTAATAAATTTATCGCCACTTGAAAAGTGGAAACGTTCTCAAAATGCAGTAGAGTGTGCCTAGTAGGCACGATATTTAAAAATGTTCATCACTACTAGAATGTATTTTAAAGCACTAAATGTCGGTTTAAGTCCACACCTTCATACATGTGTCAAATGTATGCCCTAATGATAAGAACCGCTAGTTAAATTTAAACTATATCATAAGTAAAAGGGCCTTTTGGAAACTGGGGAATCGTGCAATATAAGATAATCGAGTTAATGAAGTAACAGACGACGATCAAATGACTTTTTTTCTGATGATATTATACTGATCATTTGCATTTTACGCTATTTGTGATGATGGGCAATTCGTTCATTCAGTGCTAATTCTTTGTGATAATTACATATTTTATGTAGCTGCAATTCGGGCATTAACTCTACTTTAATAACTTTTGAAAATCTGTCTTATAGATCACTTAATACTGTTATGAATGTTTAAAAATCTCTATTAGTGTTAAGGCTGTTTGTTGTCTGAATTTTAATCACTATATTACATCGTAGTATGATACATAAATAAATATATTAATTGGAGCATATTAAACCACAAATTAGTATATAGTCTCAATATCCAGACTAGCCCTAAACGTTTTTTTAACCAGAATATCGTCTAGGCCTGGGTAGCACTGTGTTGAGTTGCACTTTTGGGTTGTTGCCGCTCTGAGTTTATGAGTAACGTTTGCAATCACTCCTAAAAGTTTACCAGAAAAAAATTCCACAAAATTATACAATTTTTGGGCAAAGGCTTAACATCGTTTTTTAATTGTATGAAAGTGAAAAATGGAAATTCGGAACAATGATTCATTCATTAAATGTTTTAATGTAAATTAGTTAATTTAAATTAATCTATTAATTAAATGATTAACACAAAATTGCGTTTTACTGCAAAGCATAAGTTGAAGATTGTTCTCAACACAGAAATCTTGATTTTGGATAAATAACATAATTTAATTACAATAATAAATAACAATAATTGGAATTAAATCGTTTGGAAGATTGATATTTGCTCTTGGAATTTGTGATTTAATCTTCGATTTAATATATCCGAATGCTATTCAAAATCAGCCCGGTAGTATCATAATAATGATTTTTCCATGTGTATAAAAAATTATACCATTTAAACTAAATTTATATAACCTGATCTTCTAGAAGGAAATGTATAAATGTAATAAATAATATAAATATTAAAGTGTATATCTTTCATTTGAAATGCCTCTGATACATCGCTTAAGGAAACAGTTAACGGCGATTGGTGCACCCTCTGTAAAGAATTAATAGCCGAAACCTTTTTTCTTCTTGTCTTGTCGCCTGAGACAAGCACGATGTTTAGTGAATAAAATGAATTAACTTGATGATCGACGCGCGCCCTCTAAGGTGAATATATTCAACTGTATGTACATAATGCAGTAGTTATTGTTAGTATATTAGCAGTATTAGACTTAACTAAAATCGACAAAAGCGCCCTCTGTAGTCAATAAGTCGAACTTAAATCAGCAAAAGCGCCCTTTGTTGTGAATAAGTCGACCTAAAATCGACAAAAGCGCGCTCTATACCGAATAAGTCCCAACTAATTATCGTAAGCAGCGCACTCTGTTGTGAATAAGCCGAACCAAAATTGACAAAAGCGTTCTCTATACCGAATAAGTCCAACTAATTATTGTAAGCAGCGCCCTCTGTAGTGAATAAGTCGAACTAATTTTCATAAAGGCGACCTCTGGAGCGAATAGGTCAAACTAAAATCGACAAAAGCGCTCTCTGTTGTGAATAAGTCGAACTAATTTTCACAAAGGCTCCCTCTATAGTGAATAAATCAAATTCATTCCTGGGTTTCAGTCATTTATTGTCTCTATTTACCTATCAAAATACGTTTCGGTGTATTTTTCCACCATCATCAGTTTTTCTAAAATAACAGATAGTTAAAAAAATGTTTGTCATTAGTTAAAAAAACAACCACAGTTCGTCAACAGCCTCATCATATCACACATTAAAATACATCACAATTGCAATACTTTAAAACATTATAAAATTAATTAGGCCTAACAGGTGAATAGTCAGGACAATCAAATTTGGGAAGACTAGAATTCTTCGTTGAGATACTAAAATATTTTTACTTACATGTGTAGCGTTGTTGCTGCTTTAAGCCTTGGCATGCATTTGGAGTATTAATTTTGTCCATTATCGGACACAAAACGAA